AAATATATATATATATATATATATATATATATATATATATATATATATATATATATATATATATATATATATATATATATATATATATATATATATAATTAATATAAATAAAAATAGTATTTTTCTATACAGATTAACGAAATAAGGGTTTGGTGAGTGTATCAACTGTGTTTTAACTTAAATAGAATACATGCCAACTCTCATGCACTAGCATCCACAACTACCATCCACATTTTAAGATCTATATATCACAGACCTCAAGAAATGATATCAATTTTGCTTTATACAATTATAGCTTTACAGCCGTATACTAATACCAACTATATTTCTAACAAAGTTTACTGATCTCAGAGCGGAGTTTACCCGTGATGATATTGATTAAAAACAAACCCATCATGATAGTATTGATTAAAGACAAACCCGTGATGTTATTGATTAAAAACAAACCCGTGATGATATTGATTAAAGACAAACCCGTGCAGATGATATTGATTAAAGACAAACCCGTGATGATATTGATTTAAAGACAAACCCGTGACGAATTGATTAAAGACAAACCCGTGATGATATTGGTAGCTAAGTATTGCTTCGATGTTTGTGTTCTATGACTATATGTATACCAGTATTGGTATAGCTCTGTTTGAATAAAGTTTGTTTGTTTGTTTGTTTGTTTGTTTCTTTTTTATACAGTGAGTTTTCAGCTCATGCATTAAGAAAATTACGTACAGTAAATCCACGATAAAAATAATTGTATTGCATGTATATTAAACATATGTTAAATATAAAACTTACTTTTTTTGCTTTGATTCAACTTCAAACTATATGTTGCCAATACTTAATTTAGTTGGAAGTATTCTTTCTTCTTATACAAACAGCTCTACGGAACTATAAAAAATGCGCACAACGTCAACGTATATTAAGTTGTATGCTCTTTTTATTAAAGAGGTTATTTCCGTAAACGAACTCCTTATCCTAGCTGCTAAACGGGACTCCGGCCAAACCCGGCCCAGTCCGTTCAGTGTGGTTCTATAAGTAAGCTATCAACACTTATAGTTATAGAAATGTATATTCTTCTATTATATTTATACTTTTTTTGGTTGATAAATGATGTCCAATAAAGCGTGAATTTGACTACTGTGAGAAATCAAATACTATATGAACTTGTGAACAAATCGGTTGGCTTGCCGATCGATGTCTCTTTACTCTTTAGACTTTATGAATGCGCAAATGAGGGAAAGCAATACTAATAAGTAATAGACGAGAAACAAGCGTTCGTTTCTGACGTAAGCTAATCACAAATAAATCAAACGACAAATTGTCCCTGTTATGTTCAAACGGGCTTAGATCGCGTTCACACGTATTTGCGTGGTTGAATATCCTTTCAGCATGTGTGCTGAATCGCAACGTTTCGAAACAAACAAACAATCGGCTACTATGTTTTATAATATACACAAGAAATTGCTATCGAATGTTGTCTCACAGTGATTTAAATGAAATTGAGAAACCATGGGCGTACGGGCCTAATCTTGTTTTGGGGGGCACAGTATTAGGTTTGCCCGACCGTGGCTAATTAATATTTCTCCCCAAAATTGTTGGCGAGCGGGGAGGAGTCAACAAAAAATTTTTCCCGGACATACCAAAACATTTTCCCTAATATCCCGTAATTTTCGCAAACATACAAAAAATTTTCAGGACATACCAAGAAATTTTCCTTAATTAATATCCCGTACTTTTCGCGAACATTTTCCGGACATACCAAAAAAATTTCCCATTATATACCGTAATTTTCCCACACATACAAAAAATTTTCCGGACATAACATAATTTTTCAGAAATTTTTATGTTTTAATTTGCCCGAATGACGCATGGATTTCTGCCCGACCGTAAAAATTGGGGTGGGGGGCGGGGCTGTAGCTCTCTAGCTATTAAATTCAAAAAAGTTTGTCTTTCCAAACTCTAAACATTAAACCTTAATTAAACTTTAATTTTTTTCATAATCTTGTTGCATGCTGTATACTGTTTCGGAGTAAAGATAGCAATAATTAGAGTCAGTATTTTATAGTGTAAATAACTATACTTCCTTCAGGATGTTTGTGATGTTACTCTGAGTGTATATCCACACCGGGCAAGCTTGAAAAATATGCCTGGCCACGGTGGAAATGGAACCTACGACCTTTGGAATACTAGCCCAATGCTCTGCCAACTAAGCCGCTACGCGGTCAGGTCGGTTCGAGTATGTGATATTTCGACTCACTCCGAAATATCACATACTCGAACCGATCTGACCGCGTAGCGGCTCAGTTGGCAGAGCATTGGGCTAGATTCCAAAGGTCGTAGGTTCGATTCCCACCGGTGGTCAGGCATATTTTTCAAGCTTGCCCGGTGTGGATATACACTCAGAGTAACATCACAAACATCATATTCACCCGAGTACATAGCACCAACACAGAAAAAAACTATTTCCTTCTTATCTGAGAACCCTTATGAAAACCCGGCATTTTTGATGATAAGGCTTTCTCACAAAAGATTGTTTTAAACATGAAAATATATATATACATAAATGTGAATGCTCTCCATCGTAAATCTTGGCTGTATACACAAGGATTATGACAATTAAGTCTTTCTGACTATAAACACGGCAAACACTGTATTAGAATTTCGAAAGACAACCATTTTTGAATTAGCTGTATATATTCATCATAAATTAAAAACACGCATCGCTTATGTCGAAGACTAAGAGAAATAATAGGCGTCTTTACTAAATGTTTTATACTGTTTAGTTTCGTGGCAATTTTTGGAGTATAGTGTAATGAATATGGGCATAATAATTATGCCATATGGCAAAACTTCAAGTGTGCGCATTTTACCTTACAGACCTTACAGCGCGTATCAGAAGGTTCCATGTCAAGGTGCATTGTCGAAAATACTCGAATAAATATACATTCAACCTAGAACATTTTAAAGCTTGATTAAACTGAATACTTGTTATCATTTTGGTAATTACCAAGTCTTCACATTCCACATTGACACAACGCAGTAACGCACTAAGCTGAAGATTGAACAAGATGCGCAGTTCATATTAAAATTAAAAAGTCGAACAGCGACATTTCTTTAAATTTTTTACGTCTTCCAAGAGATATCCCCTGTTTAAAAATTTTTGATTCCTTGCCACAATTTGTGCGGTCACTAAAGTGTAAGTATGATAAGTATAAGTATGATAAGTGCTAAACACACGCCCTCATTAGCGCCCTCATTTCCGCCCACGAAACCTGGAGCCCGCTCCAGGTTCGATTTCAAACCTGGAGCTGGAACGACTAGTTTGTAAATAAACTGCTTTGGCCGCTTAACCACCAATGGAAATCCAATTTTTTTAAAAGACCATTTTTACTTGTCATATTCCTTAGTATGTGATGGAAAATGAAGACATTATTCCATTCCGTTCATCCACGATACCTTGTGAAAGATCACTGTTTTTTCTGACGAAGGGGCTGGTCAGCGGTGGGATAGATCGCAAAGCTCGATCGTTTTTAAACCTTATTTTTTTACCTGGCTTTATAATGAAAAACTTTTGATTGATGACCATCTAGAGAATGTATTCAAAAGTAATTTCAAGCGGTTAACTTATTTCCATATCGCGAAACCGCGATGATTAACTCGCGCAAAGTTAAACTGTCTAATTTCACGCACCGCCCGGTTGTGTCAATTCTATCCTTCTGTGAATACAACAACTTTAGTATGCGTAAATTTACGCTCCAGAGGAATAAGATATTGATATGTTAATGACATAATATCATTTGTTGCGCTTTTCCGAAGAACTAACGATATCAACATATTTAATTTCCGACTAACACACAACGCAAACAAGATACTTATACTTACTTACAAATCTATTTAGCCACGCTGGCCATACATGCACAACATAGTTGTAAAATACAATCTGTTGATTTTCAGATGGGGCGTGTTATTAAACAAATTATTTTAACTCACATTTTGCACTATTTGTTACTATTTGTTTGCACTAATTGTTTACTATTTGTTTACGTTTCACATCTCTTGAAAGTTGATTTCTCATGTCGGTAACGAATGCTATAGTGTTCTCACGAGTTGCTCATGGTGGTCCTAAAGTTTCAAATGCTGTAAAATATGATAGTATGAATATTAGTCTAGAAGGGTCATCTTTTAAAAAATCGTGGCATGGCGAAATTAGCAAAGAAATTTGCGAAGCAATTTAGACGACGCTAGACGTATTTGACATGTTATGGCGCATAATAACACCATTTTAGCGATCTTGTTTGCGTTGTGTGTTTCGGAAATTGAATGTTTATATCGTTAGTTCTTCAGAAAAGGGCAACAAATGATATCATATCAGTAACATATCAATATCTTATTCCTCTAGAGCGTAAATTTACGCATACTAAAGTTGTTGTATTCACGGACGGATAGAACACAACCGGACGGTGCGTGAAATTAGATAGTTTAACTTTGCGCGAGTTATTCATCGCAGTTTCGCGATATAGAAATAAGTTAACCGCTTAAAATTACTTTTGAATACATTCTCTAGAATCAATCAAAATTTTACGTTTTTCGTTATAAAGTAAAAAAATGTTTTAAACGAGCTTTGCGATCTACCCCACCGCTGACCAGCCCCTTTGTCAGAAAAAACAGTGATCTTTCACAAGCTACCATGGACGAACGGAACGGAATGTTTTCATTTTCCATCACGTACTAAGGAATATGACAAGAAAAAATGGTCTTTCAAAAAAATTGGATTTCCATTAGTGGTTAAGCGGCCAAAGCAGTTTATTTACAAACTAGTCGTTCCAGCTCTAGGTTGAAATCGAACCTGGAGCTGCGAAACCTGAGGCTGACTGGCTCGTCATTCGAGCGCAGCAAACAATAAGCTACTAATTACACTGGCCTGTAGGCCAAGTGTCTTAAACCAAGTGTCTTCACCCTACCACGAAAGTTGCCATTTTCAGGCTAGTGTGAACGCCTGAGCAGTCGTCTTGTCTACTATAATAGACAGGTTCAGATTTGACTTCCATTACCTCTCACTGACTTAGTACGCATCTGATTGGTTAATCGGATATATCAAGCGTATCTGATTGGTTAATCGGGTATATCAAGCGTATCTGATTGGTTGATGGTCCCTTAATAGTAGAGGTAGCGGTAGTGGAAGTCAAATCTGAACCTGTCTAATATACACTAGGAATTGCTGTTGTCTCACAATGATTTAAACGAAATTTGGACACAAATTGGTAATCACACACGCTGTGGTGAGGAATTTCAATTTATAAACATGTTCGACTTTAAGAACACTGCTTATACTTAAAGCAGACTAGTAGTCCAGTACGAGCAGCGACTATCATTGATATAAAATATTTGGGCCTGCGTCATAACTTTAAAACAGGCTCAATGTAAATTTATCAGATTTTAAAAATCTATTTTTATCTGATAAAGCACGATATTCGGAATGTCATGAATGAAGAAATCCCACATTTTTTTGCTCAGCAAACTAAATGCCGCGGGTCCAAGTACATGTTTCGGACATGGACAATCTTCAAAATGCATAGCTGAATAATCGTCATAACAAGATAAAGTATAATAAGGTTTACAACATAACTTTCAACCATATTTCAATACAATTCAGAAAATGTACTTACCAAAAGAAGTCGTGCCTGAACTGTCTATTTCACTGATCACTGTTTAATATATGTAATGGAAACATTTTGCATCATTTGGTCGTTTCTTCAGGTGTCAATACATATATGAAGTTGGTCATCATATGGAGCACCATATATAAAACTGCAGTTCACCTATAGATGATATAGTCTTTTAGTCAAATTGACGTAAGATCTAACCTTATGTTCATGTTATTTTAGGTGGCAAAGCAGCTGAAGCATATCGATCTCGGAACAAAAACCGGAGTTGCGAAATCACAGGCTGAAACATGTCTGATGTGTGTTATTACACAATTGCCTAATTCACAAAATCTTTCAATAAAAACTGGCGAAACAACCGAAATATTTCAATATTTACAAGTATAAGCTATCACTCCGTGTTTATACGGCCGTCTATTTTTTCAGCATAATCAGCAATATGATACCTTACTTCCCATCCTCCCCTGCGTGCATAAATTACAAGCTGGAATTGCCTATTCTATTCTTGAAGTTGCCATTTACACATTTAAATATATAATAATGGTTTACCCAGTATGCATGATTTATGATAGCTGTTCACAGACAGAATATTAAGGCCTGTTTACACTTGCAATTTTTACTGCGACTAGTTCTGGTTCGATTTTCTCCTTCTGATGCATGTGAACGAGTAGATGAGTTACGAATGTTCAGAGTACATGTACCCTCATCTGAACATTCATAACTCCTATACACTCGTTCACATCCATCAGAAGAAGAAAATCGCAGCAAAAATTGCAAGTGTAAACGAGCCTTCAAACTGCCTTCATAAACACCATCTACACTAATTATATTAAGTTCATTACCTCCGCCAGGAGGTTATGTAATCATCTGGGTTTGTGTGTGTATGTGTGTGTGTTTGTCTGTGAGCACGATAACTCAAGAAATACCAAACATATTCATACGAATTTTTTTTTAATGCATTTCCCATCGGCTAAGGACGAAATGATTAAAATTTGGTTGAATTTGGTTAAAAATTGAACGAGAAATGAACAACATTGTGTCTTGCTTTTCCCGCTCAATTAAAAATAAAAAAAACTCACTGAATGCGTAATTAGGACGTCTATAATGTATGCACACAGTACTAAGACAATAATGAGATGATAAACCTCATTAAGCTTCAGCCTTCATTATCTATCGTCTTAGTTGCATTTCACACGACCGAAATTCAATGCAGGCGGAGGGGTATGCAGTCTCTGAGTGCCCTCTAGTTTTCATTGAAATGTTTATTGATCCTTTTTGCTGTTTGCTTCGTAAGGTGGTGGTGGGGCAGACGGTGCAAAGTTGCCCTAAAAATACAAAAAATTAAATTCACTGATTTACTGAAATGACAGCCGTATAAACACGGAGTGATAGCTTATATACTTGTAAATATTGAAATATTTCGGTCGTTTCGGCAGTTTTTATTGAAAGATTTTCAGCATATCAGCAATATGATACCTTACTTCCAACCACCCCCTGCGTGCATAAATTAAAAGCTGGAATCGGCCAATTAAGAAATCATTACCGAATAGAAATTCTAAAATTAACAGCGATTACTTCTGATCAACTCGGTTTAATAAACAACAAAATATATATACTTATAGTTACTATAGTCATACAATTATTTGTAAAGAAATTATCCGTTTGTCCGCTATATACGACAAATATCAATTAATATGCATTATCCAGTAGCAAAATGTGCAAGTAAAGATAGCAGCCATGCAATGACGGATGCGTCATAAGAACTAAGGTTTAAGCTGCAGAATTACTAATTTACTTCATAATAGATAGATAGATAGATAGATAGATAGTTTATTTCATATAAACATTGCAGCCAATAGGCTGAATTACACTTATATTTACAAGTTAAGAAAATATTAAAATACTATACAACTAAATGTCTCTAAAAGGATCTAAGAATGGCTAATAATTTTATGATGAATAATTTATTGCATTATGTATAATAAAACTATTTACAAGTTATCAAAATTTGTATCGTGATGTACTAGAACTAGGGAACACACCTGAATATACAATGTTTCTGGTTTTTGCAACATGCCAGTTCATAGTGACAACTGACGCGTTCTACGTCATCAAAAAATTACAGTTTAACATATAGATGAGATTGGGAAGATTTAAAAATATGCATATCAGAGTATTCAACTGTTTAACCAATCATTTGTGTTTTATATATACACCGACAATAGAGGCGTTCGTTCAATAATTATACTAGCATATTTTGTCTGATGTGTATATAGCAAAATAAAGAAAGTAAAAGTAAAAAATTGTTTTAAAGAACCATGTCCATGCAGATATACACTGGCCGTGATTCGGCAACGAGACTTTCCAGTTTTTGAAAGTAAATAAAACCGTCTATGAAAGGAAATTTTGAAAGATATGTGGACCAAATAACTCAAAATGTCATGCCACATCTAAATATTGGAAAAATTTTAACCAGGATCAAAGTTATCTGTCAGTGGATATAGAAAAATCACGCCGCATTGTCGAATCACGTTGCCAGGTGTTGCTGGCCTTAAAACAAGTCAACTTTTTGAATGCAAATTGCAATTTTATATAGTGGTTAATATATGAAAGGAACGTAATGGATGGTTAAACAGTTGGTTATAACTCTCCAATTCTTACTAGGATAATGCTCTCGGAATTTTGTGACCAATTTCAAGTAAGTTTTCTAATGTTTGTTTTAAAATGGTGATTACTTCTGCTATTTTAACGTGGAATTTTTCATTTTAAACTTCTTTTCTTTAAGATAAACAGTCTTTTGGGAGACGTCGGAAAAAACCGAGAGCATTGGAGCATCATGCCACTCTCACGCAGTTATAACGTTAGGATTTAAATGAATCCTTATGGAGAAAGCATCAATTGCGCATGTGGAATGACACACTATGACCAGGGGCCGGTTGTTCGTAGCCCGTTTAGGCTAAGCGGTGGATAAGTCAAAAATATTAATCAAGTTTATACATTCATCAAGTAACCAAACTAAAATATTCCAACTTGAGTAGAACAATTATGTTTGCAACTATGTATTTAGTGTATGAGATTTTAGTATCATTTATAAAATGTGTGAATCTATTATTTAAGTTTGACTTATCCACCGTTTAAGCTAAACGGGCTTCGAACAACTGGCCCCTGGTCAATCGACAATAATCTTAATAAACATCACATCATCCTTGATATACTGACGATTATTCAAGCTACCAAGAGGCATAAAGAGCGGGGAACCTGACGCGATATTCATATCAGACTTGGGACGTTGAAACGAAGAACTTTGAGGATCTGAATTAAACGCATCAATCATATGATCTCCATTGCCTTGATCCAACAGCATCATCGTGATCTTCTTTTGCAACGGCCAGGTTAAAAGAGCGTCGTAGTCGCCTTTCATCACAACGAAAAACAAAGATAAATGCGATCCCTTTCCAAATCCATCTCCATTCATATATAGTTTAGCACACATCTTATATCCAAACTCACTGGTGTAAAAATATGGACTAAATATGGTAGTCTTCACTCCATTGATAGCATCCTGTCGCTTCCTCTGGTAGCCTTCAATCTTCCAAAGTAATACACCAGTGTAGTTCACTTTAGTTTGAATACTTTGAGACGGTTCTCTTGGTTCGAGGTCTGCAAACCTGGCTGTTATAACAGCAACGGATTGATCAATCTGTTCCATCTTATTTTGGTATCTTTCTATCGCCTCCATTGTTTCCCTTAGTTGTGTTTCAAGCCTGTTATTTTTTGCTTGTAACCTTTCTATTTCCTTCCCCATTCCCACCTCAACTCGTCTGATTTCAGCGTTACTTCCTGAACCGTTAGAACTACTTGCTCTATTTAAATCCACGTTTTCCAATCTTCTTATTAAACCATCTACAGTTCCCATCATTGTGGAGAATTTACTTTCCATGGTTTTAATTTCGGCCGAAATTGCATCTTTTACTCTGTTGACTTCGTCCAAAACCAGTTGCTTCGTGGCAAAATTCTCGAATTTCGGAGCAAGGTTTTGCATGCCGCCTTGCAATTCGAAAATAAATCTCAACAACAGCCGAATGTGAAGACGAGACGCGTCCTTGTAATGCTTGCGAAGCTCTTTTCTTTTACTCACCTAAATAAATAACATTATCGAAATCGTTAACGGACTGAAGTCGTATTATAAATACAAAACATGATTGGAAAGCAGGAAAATTAAATTACATCTTTCAAGACTAATAGAAATATACAGGAATGGGGATTCAGTTGGGGGATGGGTGGGTGTGTACTCATCGACCATTGGACATCGTTCTGGGTTCGACCATTGGCCATGACAAGTGCGTAATCACTAGAGGGAACTACGGCAGGAAGGCACTAGTCTGTGATCTTGTTTGACAATTTCACGATCATGTTACTAGCTCATTTTATCTCGATTTTATTTTTGTTTTTGTAACTGCCGCTAACGTTCTAAATCCGCTTTTCAGCCCCCCCCATTTGCAAAGGCAAGGAAGGGTGTACACCCCTCCCCCTTTCCAGTAAATCCATCTCTGCATATATGAAAAGAATGACCATTATTTTCTCTCTCTAATACCTAAAGTTGATCACCATTTGTTGAACAACAGGTGGCTTCACTACTAAGCACTATCGCCGTGCAACAGATGGTAGTCAACCTGCAGTTATCAGAGTGAGAAAATAATGTTCATTCTTCTAAATATATGTCGTAGTCTGGTAATAGTCTTGTCAGAGATGTAGTTTAATTTTAACTGTCCACACACTTTTGAAGTTGGCTGTGCTGTCAGCCTCACTGAAATCAACCAATACAGTGTACCAACACACTAACCTTAGTATAGTCGCAGCCAATTGATTTAAAATCACATTCCACGTCGATTTCTTCACATTCCTCAGTCTGATGCTTTCTCATTTCCTTTCGAGGTATATTCTTTAACTGACAATATTCACATGTGAGAGGAGCTGCCTGACAACTTTCTGATACATGTTTCTATACAAAAAAATAAGCATAGACAATTGTATAAAATAGACAATTGCATAAAATAGAAAATTTTAATTCACTGTAAAAGTAAGGGAATATATTTTCTTTGTATGCGCTGAACTTCAGTTCTTCCCTTTTTGATCGAGTTTTTCCTTGATTTAATATTCAGATTTTTCCAAATTTTTTTCAGCAGACTTCAAAATTTTCCGGGAACCAATGGTTCCATGGTCCACCATGGTCCAAGGTAGAGGGGAGGTGTTGCAGTTGAGAGATGATTGAGAAGGGCACAGCTGAGATGTGTACCTATACTGTACCAGGCTTATGCCAGCGGTAAAGATCAGCGTGCAATTAAACCAGCAATTAAATGATAATAGATGGCGTTAAAAAAGGTTGAAGCAACTGCAGTGTTTCATATCTCTAATCCCCAAAATAGCTTGACTTGTGTGAACATACCTCCACAGAAGCAAAAGGCAGCGTTTCTTGACAATTTTCACACTGGACTGATCGATATAGACATTCTTCCTTTAAATGTTCTGCCAGGAGTGAACGTTTGATTTTAGCTTTACATGGAGTATGAACACATATTATCACGGTGTACTCACATGAGTCGATGTGAGCCTAAAAAGAAATATGACCGTTATAACACTTAATACAGAAAAAACTTTAATTTATCAGTTAGTGTGATTTTCTAGTTTTGTACCGTCCGTTTCAGCGTGCGCGAAATCAAACTGCGCAAAAATATCGCATTTAGCGAGGTGCGCTAAATTACATCGCGCGAAATTAAGTTTGATTTAAGACTGAGCGAACATTAGTACAACACGAATATACAAAGTATACAGTTATTTACAGTCGCAGAATTATTTACCTGCAAATCTTTTCCCGCCCCAAACCAATTACATTCATTATTTAAACAATGTAGCTCCAACGACATTAGTTCTCGCTTTGTGTAACCATCGAGAAAAATCTAGGAAAAAATTATTTTGTATGGTGTCTTCATTTATATGGTTTTGTTCTGGAGGGCTATTTATTATGTGCCAAGGTTATAGGCCATAATAGTGAGGTTTAAACTGCTACTATCGCTATCATTCAGAAACCACTAACCAATCAGATGCGTTTAATCTACCCGATTAACCAATTACATACGTAGTCGATAAAACTAGATGGCATGGAAAACAGTGGAATTTTCAAAACAATTAAAAGACAATGGAACATTCTGATCACTGGATCATGCCATGAAGTGGCTAAGTAAGTGCATGGCTATATTTGATACAAACATTGTCAAATGTTTACATGTTTAATTGATTTTACTAGTTTAACTAAATTTTTAAGGTGGTGATTTAGATGATATACGAGTTTTACTACAATCAATATCACTTTAAAGGGAAAATCTTGAGACGGAGAATAGTTAACTTACTTCCTTCTCATTAAGCGAGGCTCCATCTTTTGGACACACTGGATTGGCATGGCTGAAATATAAAAATCCGTCCGTTTAGTTTTATATATATAGACCACAAGCATGATCGTGACATCAAGTCCTGCAGCAAGTGAAACAATCCACTCCTTGTACATGGTTTACTTTATACATGGAAAAGCTCAACATAACTTGAGATTTTTACTACGTCCGTGTCCTTAAGACTTTACCATGCAGGGCCCCATTTATATGGAGCTGGTGAGTTACCCGGTAAGGCGAGTTATTCGCCTTACCGGGACAAAGGAACAATCTGATGATAAGGAACCGAGTTACCTTAGTATATATATATATATATTTGACCGAATAGGTTGTGATTACGTCCTCTTAGGCGAGATCCCAGCTCTTTCTGCTAACATCTGTATCACCAAGGCGGATTACCCGGTTGTGGACTGGTCATGTAAACAGTCACCCGATTTATATTACTCAGTTTACATCACTCATGCATGTAAACAGTCAAACTATATCTCTAGTAGTCTTCATCTTGCAGTTGCAGAGTAACACACCTTGCTGGGTAATATAAACATATGAACGGGCTCTCAATGACTATGTCTACAAGGCACGTGGACGAGCAGACCTGCCAAGTTCGGAAGATAAGAATGCGTGACATCTCACAGCTTGGCTTCTCTAACGGTATTGCGTAATAACAAAATGTAAGATTTGACTAAGACAGAGGCAAGGCTCCTCCACAATTGTTCATACTCATAGGTGAAATTGGGCTAAAATATCTACGGAACCAAAATTTAAAAGCGTAACTTTCAGGCCAAATGCGTGGCACTTGGCAGCTCTGATATTGCATGGCATGTCAATAGAAATGGTGAGATTTCATATAGTTTTATGATTTAGACGTCTTCAAAACGTTTGCACACAGTGTCAATGAGTTATTGTACTATTATATTATTCCAGGCAAGGTTGCATGCCATGAAAAGTGGGATATATGCGTAACTTTAAGATCATTTTAGTTATGCGTGCGGGACAGCGGGAACAAAAGCAGAATGCGTAACTTTCACGCGAAATGCGGGAACCTTGGCAGGTCTGAACGAGTCCAGAACCGTATATATACGTAAATTCGTCCGCTTATTGTACGGTTAGTTGTATGCGAATTCGTGCACCGATTTCCGCCATGAAAACGAGTCATCATTCTAAACAATATATTATAGGCTATAGCGAGGGCAAAATTACCTCAAAATAACTTGGACACAGCTTTTACACATCAAATGTCCACATGGGGTTTGCATCGGTTCATTCAGCAACAGCTCACATTTCGAACAGAGGAACTTCGCGTCGATTTTTCTTCGATCAACTTCTGAAATTTGTTGGCCTGCAGGCATTACGAAACTCTGAAATGAAAGTGCTAGAACATAAATGCATGTGCCACGTGTAAAATATCTTAAATATGTATGATCTACTTTAGACTTTGACTAAAGCTTTTAATACTTTTAGCTGTTTAGATGGCTCACAACCACAGCACCTTTTTGTTTTGGCAATTCCCCGGGGTATACTTGCGTAACTTTCTGGGTTTGCATGTAATTTATCGGTGACAACAAGTACAGAAATCTATACAGATCAGCGACAACGGTCGAAGTTTTTTAGTAAAAGCTGTCGATCCTATATTTACATTTCTATCAAGAAAACAGTTCTCCATCTATATAGTCTGGGTTGTCAGCCGAAGAACTACGGTCTACGCATGTGACAGTTTTGCCACAGAATAGGGAGCGACAGTTGTGCCACTTATAGCGGTACAACGTGTCCTCGTATTTTTATGCAAAAAATATGCAGTTTAATGGCTAGGACGAGCCAGTTCAGCGTGCTTATTGGTCTGGCTTAGCAACATGCGATATGCGCGAGGACAGAAACTTCAAAGGATCAGACATAAGTGGCACTATACTGTCCTTCCCTACACTGTGGTTTTGCTGTAGGGCGTTTGCACATGACGTCACAGCCGCCATGTTGGTGTTCCAATTCAAAATAATTTTAATTAGACTCTTTTGTCGGGAACACCAACATGGCCGCCAAGGCTTTTGTTGAGTTGGTCCCTGGGGAATGAGTGCAAATTAAACGCTCTAGCTATTGTCGAAATAGCTGTATATCTTTATGGTAATAAGTCGTTTGTTGTCATTAAGAACATGCGGCTCTGCAGTATTCACAGATGGTGAATAAGCACGTGCTACAATTAATGGGGTGTTGAAAAGCAGAACAAATTTCAATCTATAAATATCCTTCACCTGTTACTGAGTTCTGTGGAGCTAGATGCCCAAAAATTTCGATATTACAGTTAACATCAATATTAGCCTTTCTCACGCCGCCATTTTTGGGTGGCATTTCAGCAGAAGTCTGCGAGATAAGTCCACATAACAGCGACTTTTTATATTTTTTTTTGACGAATGATGGTAAATTTGCTTTGTAAATGGTTAGTTTATTTTGAAAAATTGCTTTTTACATTGTTTTAACTGTCTGCATTGGTTAATGAGAATTGGATGCCACCCAAAAATGGCGGATATTCGTCATCGTGAGAAAGGCTAATTCATTTAAACTGCATGTCTAGGCCTAGCTAAAACTAAAGGTTTAATGCAAAAATATGCAGACAGAAACGATTTTGTGTTTCCTTCTTGTTTATAAATGCTAGACGTTTGATTTTTGTTCTTTGTTCTGCTCCAAGGCTATAACTATATTTTAATTCTATAGACTATGGACATAGTACACTTGGGTCTAATACACCCTTTCGATAATTACGTCATTTGGCCTGGGAGCCTCGCTCTCATGAATCGTGAGCCAATCACCTTGCGTAATTTACTAATGAGAGCGAGGCTCCACGAGCAAAAAATACTGCGTGACGTAATTATCGAAAGAGTTTATTTGACAATTACACCCTGCCATTACATACAAGCGAGGTAGAACGTTATGTACACACACGTAAAAATCTCACATCTTGTAGCAAGTCTGACAACAAGTCGTCAACAAGTTGTGCTCGCACTGCTTGTCCCAAGTTGTCGATAAGTTTGGAACAAACTGTTAACAACTTGTAACAACCTTGTTGATATTATCGGATTTGTTGCAAGGTTGTTCCAACAAGTCCGATACAGTCATGATGTGACAATGTTGTTAAAACCTTGTGTCATCAACCTTGTAACATTCTTGTTATATCATGACTGTATCAGACTTGTTAGAACAACCTTGTAACAAGTCTGATAATGCCATCAAGCTTGCTACAAGTTATCAACAGCTTGTTCCAAACTTGTTACAACAACTGGGAACAAGCAGTGCGAACACAACTTGTCGACAGCTTGTGAACAGATTTGTAACAACTTGTTTGCAGACTTGTAACAACTTGTGCGTTTTTACGTGTGTACCATTCATGCAGCGGTAAAGAATTCAACGCCAATATATATATATATATATATATATATATATATATATATATATATATATATATATATATATATATATATATATATATATATATATATATATATATATAGCTTAAGGTTTTGGTTAACGAAACACAAACAGTGCTCAATACCATATAGATAGAGCGTAATATAGTTTTTCGTTTTACCTCAAAAAACCACAACAGTCTGTTTCATCCGTATAGGAATCATCAGGTGGTGAATAATTTCGAAATTGTTGGTTGCTTTTATGCTATCGAAAGAATGTTCGGAATGCGTGTAGGCGAAACAATGCTTAGGTGAAACAATGCATGCTTGGGTCATTAGGTTTTGTTAACGACCTTGTTTACTCGAAACCGGTTTTTGTGACGACATTTGCCGAAAATTTCGCTTCTTTTATTGAGTAAATTGTCTTTGTTTATGTCTTTCAAAATGCAAAATTTATCTAAAGAATTTGATTGAAAAAGTGGAAAGCGTAACAAAACGCATGAGATGGAAAGCTAATTTCTTCCTAAAAGGATCAACGACTCAAAACCAAAGCAACCTTTTCGGCCTTTCGTCTAACAAATCGCCTCCTTCAATTCCACTTTTGAAACCTTTCGAAGACGACTTGATAAAACTAATTGAAAACGTAAAATTCCGGCGTTCTAAAGACCAATTTCAGACATCTTTGGCTAACGATTTGAAGAAAATTAATTCATCCCCCAACATTTTCATTTTCGCGGACAAAACTAGAAATATTTACGAAACGTCACTGAACACATACAACGAACTCTTACATGATAACATCACGAAAACGTACAAACATGGATCAGAGGACTTCATACATGAAATTGACTCCGAATTGAAAGAAATTTCGAGTAAGTTAGGAATTGGCGACAGAATTGAACGAATGAAAAAACGCGAAGCATTTATATCTTTAAAAGATCACAAAGAAAATTTCGAAAACAATCCAAAATGCCGACTAATTAATCCCGCAAAAAGCGAATCCGGAAAACTAAGTAAGGTTATTTTAGATAAAATCAATTCCAATTTGAGACAAAAACTAAATTCAAATCAATGGAGAAATACGCAACCAGTAATTTCATGGTTTGGCAATATAAACGATAAAGACAGGCACAGTTTTATTTCATTTGATATTGTGGATTTTTACCCATCCATTTCCGAAAAACTTTTAAATGAAGCATTGGCCTGGGCTTCGGATTTGACTACTATTACCGAAAACGATATTTCAATAATAAAACATGCAAGAAAATCTCTACTTTTCGGCAACGGCAAATTATGGACAAAAAAAGACGGAAACAACAGTTTATTTGACGTCACTATGGGTAGTTTCGACGGCGCTGAAATTTGTGAGCTGGTAGGCCTTTTCATTTTAAATCACTTAGGTAAGAGGTTTGGCAAGGAAAACATCGGACTTTATAGAGATGATGGTTTGGCTATTATAAAAAGAAAATCCGCCCGTTTACTAGACAAAACTAGAAAAGAGCTACACAAAATTTTCGAGCAATTTGACCTTAAAATCACCGCCGAAGTAAATATGAACGTTGTAAATTTTTAGATGTTACTTTCGACCTGATCAACGCAAAACACAAACC